TTGAGGTCTTCTGGCCTTAGAAGGTGGGTTTTATGTTAGTTACTCATTTTATTAAAAACACCAAAAAAAAAAAAAAATAAAGGCTTTCTTCTTTATCATCATAGCATAGGGATAAGGTCTTTGTACCTACAACCAGACCTACTTTGGTGGCATGTTCAAGCCAGAACAGCTCTGTTAAGTCAGCTCTGGCAGCAGACGAGTATTCGTAGCTGTGGACTCAACAACAATGTAATAAAATAGGTAATAAAATCTCCAGGGATAAATCCAAAAGCCGTACACACCAGGTACATTTCTATACTGACCAATGAAATTTGTCTCACCCTCTTTCTGCAGACTGCATTGGCTCAGCTGAGCTACCATGACGGCCTCTCGACTCATTGCTATCATTTAAACATGCTTGAGAAATACCCGCTTGCTGCAAAGAGCAGGAGGCAAAGTCAAGGGGTCTCCTCTGGGCTCAGGGATGGCACAAACCGTGCCCAGGAGCCCTGGAGAGGGAACTAAGCCATCTAGGATTTTAATGCATACTCTGAGAGTCTGAAATAAGAAAACACAGCTTCTAATGGAGTTTAGGACAGCATTTTATGGGGAGGGACTGAAGGATTGGTTCTTTATGCCGTTCAGGAGATGATTCAAAGACATTACACCCACTGGTAGTGATGAGAAAAGCAAGTGAAAAAGGAGTGGCAGTGCTGGGTAGCTCTAGCTTCCTGCTTCCTAGGATTTATGTACTTAAGGATGATTTGAATACTTGGTGATCAGAAGAGTGCAAATAGCGGTTGCATTAATGATTTCAACATAACCTCTAAATCCCAGGATGGCAGTAGAAATCTTAAGCTTGGTCTTAATCTTCTGACACTTTTTATTAAGAACCAAAGTAAGTGCTACTGCCTTATGACACAGCAGCTTACAGGAGTGTGAACTGTGGCATCATCCCTTCAGTGTATGTACACTCTGAGCTCAGGTCCTAGTCAGACCAGCTAGAGCTTTCCCAAAAATGAATTGCTGGACAGACAATCTCCTGTCCGATATTCTTCTGGCTTTTTTGTTGATACTTGTCTCATACTTGCACCAGTCTTTTTGTCTCTGGCTTTGAGTTGCTGAGCGATGCACATCATTGCCCACATTCAATAGGGTGATCACTGTTTCAGATATCCCCTAACAGGAGAAGAGCCCAAGTCCTTCTGTCCACTCAGAATGTTTTAGTCCAAAGTTGTGACTCTTTTTCCGATACATGCTTGGTATCTGTTAAAAACACTTGAAGGGCTCCCAGCTCATACAAGTATTATGCATCCTGCACCAAATATGTGCCTTATTCTGGAGATTAGGACATCTGTGATCTATGTTTTGTATCACAGTATCACAGTATGCTAGAGATTGGAAGGGACCTCAAAAGATCATCTAGTCCAATCCCCCTGCCGGAGCAGGAACACCTAGATAATGTTACACAGGAATGTCTCCAGGGAAGGAGACTCCACAACCTCCCTGGGCAGCCTGTTCCAGTGCTCTGTCACCCTCACCGAGAAGAAGTTTCTTCTCAAGTTTAAGTGGAACCTCTTGTGTTCCAGTTTGTACCCATTACCCCTTGTCCTATCATTGTTTGCCACTCAGTAGAGCCTGGCTCCATCCTCGTGACACTCCCCCTTTATATATTTATAGACACTAATAAGGTCAACCCTCAGTCTCCTCTTCTCCAAACTATAGAGACCCAGCTCCCTCAGTCTTTCCTCATAAGGGAGATGTTCCACTCCCTTAATCATCTTCGTTGCCCTGCGCTGGACTCTCTCCAGCAGCTCCCTGTCCTTCTTGAACTCAGGGGCCCAGAACTGGACACAATATTCCAGATGCGGTCTCACCAGGGCAGAGTAGAAGGGAAGCAGGACCTCTCTCGACCTACTAACCACCCCCCTTCTAATACACCCCAGGATGCCATTGGCCTTCTTGGCCACAAGGGCACAGTGTTGGCTCATGGTCATCCGGTTGTCCACTAGGACCCCCAGGTCCCTCTCCCCTACACTGCTCTCTAACAGGTCGTTCCCCAACCTATACTGGAACCTGGGGTTGTTCCTGCCCAGATGCAGGACTCTACACTTTCCCTTGTTATATTTCATCAAGTTATTCCCTGCCCAACTCTCCAGCCTGTCCAGGTCTCGCTGGATGGCAGCACAGCCTTCTGGCGTGTCAGCCACTCCTCCCAGCTTAGTGTCATCAGCAGACTTGCTGAGGGTACACTCAATTCCCTCATCTAAATCGTTGATGAATATATTAAATAATGCCGGTCCCAGTACTGACCCTTGAGGCACTCCACTAGTTACAGGCCTCCAACTAGACTCTGCCCCATAGACTACAACTCTCTGGCTTCTCTCCTTCAGCCAGTTCACAGTCCACCTCACTAGCTGATCATCCAGACCTCACTTCCTCAATTTATCTGTGAGGATGCTGTGGGAGACTGTGTCAAACGCTTTGCTGAAGTCAAGGTAGACCACATCCACCGCTCTACCATCATCCATCCACCGTGTTATTTCCTCATAAAAGGCTATGAGATTGGTCAAGCATGATTTCCCCTTGGTGAAGCCATGTTGACTGCCCCTCATAACCTCTTATCCTTGATATGCCTTAAGATGGCACCGAGGATAAGGTCTTCCGTCACTTTCCCAGGGATGGAGGTGAGGCTGACTGGTCTATAGTTACCTGGGTCCTCCTTCTTGCCCTTTTTGAAGACTGGAGTGACATTTGCTTTCCTCCAGTCCTCGGGCACCTCTCCCGTTTCCCAAGACTTGGTAAAGATGATGGAGAATGGTCTAGCAATGACTTCCGCCAGTTCCCTCAGTACCCGCGGGTGCATCCCATCTGGACCCATGGATTTATGGATGTCCAGATTGCTCAACTGGTCTCTAACCCATTCCTCATCGACTAAGGCAAACCGCTCCGTTGACCTCACTTCATCTAAGGTCTCAGGGGTACAGGGCTCTTCAGGACTGCCTGCAGCACAGTAGACAGAGACAAAGAAGGCATTCAGTAACTCTGCCATCTCTGTATCTTCTGTCACCAGGGCACCCATCCTGTTCATCAGTGGGCCTACATTGCCTCTGGTGTTAGTTTTATCTGCCATGTATTTGAAAAAGCTCTTTTTGCTGTCCTTGACCCTTCTCGCCAGGTTTAATTCTAAGGAGGCCTTAGTCATCCTAGCTGCCTTCCTACATCCTCTAGCAGCAGCCTTATATTCCTCCCAAGTGGCCAGCCACTTCTTCCATGACCTGTAAACTCTCTTCTTCCACTTGAGGATACCCAACAATTCCCTATTTAGCCACGCAGGTCTCCTGGCCCTCTTCCTTGACTTCCTACGTGTCGGGATGCTCCGATCTTGAGCTTAGAAAAAGCAATCCCTGAATGCCAACCAACTATCTTGGGCCCCTTTACCTTCAAACAGCTTTGCCCATGGGATTTCCCCTAGCAATTGCTTGAAAAGGCCAAAGTTTGCCCTGCTAAAGTCCAGGGTTGCAATTCTACTTGCTATTCTATTGGTCCTACCACACAAGATGCTGAATTCCACCATCTCGTGGTCGCTGCAACCAAGGCAGCCCTCAACCCTTACTGCTTCGACCAGATCCTCCTTGTTAGTGAGGATGAGATCCAGCAGCGCTCCTCTCCTGGTTGGCTCATCCACCATTTGCAGGAGGAAGTTATCATCCATACACTGGAGGAACCTCCTGGACTGTGGCTGGGTTGCTGAGTGGTCCTTCCAGCAAACATCAGGGAAGTTAAAATCCCCCACGACGACCACGGCCTGTGACTGTGAGGCCGCTCTCAGCTGCCTGTAGAAGGCCTCGTCAACTTCCTCACCCTGATCTGGCGGTCTGTAACAGACACCCACAACAGTATCGCCCTGCCAGCCTGCCCTTTAATTCTCACCCACAGACTCTCAACTCGCTCGTCATCTGTCCCTGGACAGAACTCAGTGCATTGTAGTTGCTCCCATACATAAAGAGCAACCCCACCACCCCTCCTGGCTGGCCTGTCTTTCCTGAAAAGGACATAGCCCTCCATGACTGTGGCAAAGGAAAAATTAATACGCCTCAAATAAATATGAGAATCGTCTCACCATTACTCTTCTTTTCTCCCACCTATTCCCTGAAGTATATTGATCTTTGATGTGCTTGCATTCTTGAGGCAATATGAAGACAGTATGTCTGAATCAGAGATGCAAATAAGTGATATTTGAAGCTGTTCTCAAACCTAAAGACAGTTTATTCTAGCTTTGCCATGTCAATTCCAAAGACAACTCAGTTTCTAAGTTAGCAGTACTCTCTTGCTAATAAAAGATAATGCCATCCCCAGAGACCAAAACCTAGCCCTTGTCTTAATTTTGGAGCTGTAAGGTATCGTAAGATCTGATACCGAGTGTCCTCAATCAAGGACAGGGACTTGGGAGTGTGCATTATTTTGCACTCTGCCCATCGTGTTCTCCTATTGCAGAATGAGATGGTCACACAGAAGCATTTCATAGTTTGTTGGTCTTCCTTATCTTGGGGTGCCAGAACTGGACACAATATTACTTAATTAATGATGATTGAGGGAGTGGAGCATCTCCCTTATGAGGAAAGACTGAGGGAGCTGGGTCTCTATAGTTTAGAGAAGAGGAGACTGAGGGGTGACCTTATTAGTGTCTATAAATATATAAAGGGGGAGTGTCACGAGGATGGAGCCAGGCTCTACTGAGTGGCAAACAATGATAGGACAAGGGGTAATGGGTACAAACTGGAACACAAGAGGTTCCACTTAAACTTGAGAAGAAACTTCTTCTCGGTGAGGGTGACAGAGCACTGGAACAGGCTGCCCAGGGAGGTTGTGGAGTCTCCTTCCCTGGAGACATTCAAAACTCGCCTGGACACATTCCTGTGTAACATTATCTAGGTGTTCCTGCTCCGGCAGGGGGATTGGACTAGATGATCTTTCGAGGTCCCTTCCAATCTCTAGCATACTGTGATGCTGTGATTATAGATGTGGTCTAACAAGTGCCAAGGACAGGGGTCTAAGCACTTCACCTACTGTGCTCTAACACAGGCCCCCTGCTTTGGCCACCTTAGCTGCCATGGCACGCTGCTAGCTCATGTTCAGCCCATTGCCTCCAATGACCCACCACATTTTTCAGCATGGCTGCTCTCCAGTGCTGTACAATGGGGTTAGTTTCTCCGAATTGCAGAACTTAGTGTTTGTCCTTGCTGAATTTCACCAGGCTCCTGTTGGCCCAGTCCTTCAGCCTGCTTCTGTCCTTCTGAAACACTCCATGATCTTTGGACTGAAACTGAAAGGCTAATGTTGTTCTAATGTTCCCACATATGCTGTGGGAAGGCAGGATGTCACACTGGCATATCCTACTTCATAAATTGCATCTAGGATATACCTAGAGAAGAAAAAGCAAGGGGTGCGTGTGTGTGTGACAATGACACAGAATCTCTCCATCTTCTCCTAACTGCCCTGACCTAAGGTTAGTTGAGTCCGTTTGGCACAAGATACGTGGAAATAACATCTCAATGTTGTGGCCTTCAGTGAATGTAAGGTTTAACTTGAGGAAAAGATACCCATAAATTCTCCAAGTGATGAATGGTTGGCAGGTTCATTTCAGTACTTTCTGCTACAGAAGTTTAACATTTTTTTCCAAGGTGCCATGGTTTAACCCCAGCCAGCAACTAAGCCCCACTGGGCCCCACACTTGCTCCATCCTGGTGGGATGGGGGAGAGAATCAGAAGGGCAAAAGTGAGAAAACTCTTGGGCTGAGATAAAGGCAGTTCAATAGGGAAAGCTAAAGCTGTGCACACAAGCAAAGCAATATAAGGAATTCATTCCCCACTTCCCATGGACAGGCAGGTGTTCAGTCTCCAGGAAAGCAGGGCTCCCATCACCCATAACAGTTACTTGGGAAGACAAATGCCACCACTCCCAGAATCCCCCCTCCCTTCCACCTTCCCCCAGCTCTATATGCTGAGCATGACACCGTATGGTCTGGGACATCCCTTGGGTCAGCTGTCCTGCCTGTGCCCCCTTCCCTGAACCTTGTGCACCCCCAGCCTGCTCGCTGGTGGGGTGGGTGAGAGGCAGAAAAGGCCTTGGATCTGTGTAAGCACTGCTCAGCAGGAACTGAAACATCCCTCAGTTAACACTGTTTCCTGCACAAATCCAAAACACAGCCCTGTAACAGCTACTATGAAGAAAATTAACTCTATCCCAGCCAAAACCAGCATATGTACAAACACCCCTCCCTAAATGAGCCCCTTTTCCCACTGTATATATCTTGCACTGTGAGCTGCTGCTCTGCTATCTATTGCAGCTGTTGTTAGAGGGCACTAAAAAGTTGAAATAATTGGTACAATTTTTTGTTAGAGCTACTTTTATCTTTCATGATACAAAAATTACCCTCTGTCACTTTGTAGTTATTCTTTTAACTAAAGATCATATTGAAATATTCCTAAACAAAAGAACAGCTTGTGGTAAGCAGATTTTTTTTCCCCTGCTCACATTTTGATCATTGATTTTTTTGATTTGTGGAAAAAAAATAGCTTAAAAAAAACCCAGAAAAATTAATAAAGCCAAAGCCATTTATAAAGTAAAATACCTTTTCATTAGAAAGCTCCATGTACCTGCGCACTTTCAGGAGTGGGTATCGTGTGGACTGGGCTTTGGGGAGCCGAGTTTTCCACCAAAACCAGAATGAGTTAAGGCTTGTTCTGAATTGTGCCTCAGATAACTAAATTAACTGTGTGTCAGATACTGCAAATGACACAGATGAAGATTTTGCCCACAGATTTCATTATATTTCCTCTTTGTTGATGCCGGTTGAATATTGGGAAACTTGACCTAATTCAGTGCAGCCATAACAGCCTCTACTCTTTCAAGTGGGCTTCAGTGGACAAAAGATGCCCTGCTCCTACTACTGAGAGGTAAAGCAAGCAAGCAGACTTTCATATCGCTTTAGCCTTTCCCCTGCAGCATGTGCAGAGTGCGCACTTAAATCTGCAAAGGGAGGATGCCTGGCTTTCCCCTCCCTGCCTTTTCAGAGTGAAAGAAGGAAACCTTTAGCTCACTCATACCAAGCAGCCACTCTTCTGTGCAGCAGAAGACGGCTCCTGACTGACTGACACAGCAGGTGCTGCAGAAGCCAAGACAATTCTGCATTTCAAGTGACTGTTGTCACTACCAAAGCCTATTATCTGGGGTAATAAAGTTTAAGATTAAGGGGATTCTGCATGTTTGTGCTATTCTCCACAAAGATTATCTTCTAATAGACCAGCTGCTTTATTACACTTTGCCTACCCCTTCTCATTGTATAGAGAAGCCACAAATATGAATGGGAATGCACTGAGGCAGGCCTTGTCTTCCAGCTGGGAATATCATATTGCTCTCAGTCACCGGCTGGGAGTATTAAGTTACCATCAGTCGCCAGCTGGGAACATCGCATCTTCCACCTTGCCCAGCAAAGCACATCTTGCTATTGTCAGGCTTCTGCCAAGGCCATAACCTGGTTGTGGGGGCTCCTGACTTGGGGGCTCCAAATGCAACTGCTGTGGCTCTGGCACAGCTTTAGCTTTACCTATTAAACTGCCTTTATCTCAACCCATGAGGTTTCCCATTTTTACCCTTCTGATTCTCTCCCCATCTCCCCAGGATGGAGCAAGTGGGTGGCTCTGTGGGGCTTAGTTGCTGGCTGGGGTTAAACCACAAGAATACAGGTCTGGGCAGTATAGCTAAAGTCTAAACGTCATGCATGTTAAAGCTCAGTTTAGTGGGCTAGATTTTGATTCTTCATTTTGCCTAGAAACCCAGGATCTTTCCCTTGTCGTGTCCAGTATATCACTACCTCCTCTGAAGAAGTGATGAGTCAAAATGATTAAAAATATAAATTGATACCAGCAGTGTGTTTTGACTTGCAGAACTATAAACAGAGGGTACAGAAAGTGCACTGAAGCCTGCATCACTCCCTGCCTGTCTCTGAAGACAGAGGAAGTTAAACTGAGGCAAGGCAGCAGCACTGCCTCAGCAGCATGGCAGCTGCACACAGCGAGCATTGAGAAGCATCCTTACAGCAAGCCATGAAAACAGGCTGAATAAGAACTGGGAAAGAAGGAAACCTAAAAGAGGAACTTGGTACCACCACAGCAGAGCTCTAGAAGAAATGCTGCTTCGAGTCAGATTTAACTCAGCTGAGTTGTCTTCAGAACTCATCATCTGGTCCAAGCAATTCGAGAGCTCCTGACAGGTTCACAAGCTTTATGGCCCTTGTGTCTCAGCAGGACCGAGACAAGCTTGTCTCCTTCAGGCTGTTCCACTTCCTCTGGCAGACACAACCAAGACACCTCAGCTTCCTTTGTGATGCTGTATTGATTTTTTGCAGTCTCTCTTTCCCTAAGGAATTGACTGCACTAGATCAAATTAAGAACAATCTGAGCATTTAATGGGGCTCCTTCAATACGATGAAGTTTGATTGCTTGAAGTTGAAGTTCATGATAATTATTTATGCTGACAGTACCCTCACAGGCAATAAAGACTGACCCTTTCCTGAAGGCCTCTGTCTCTCCATCAGGGAACCATTTCAATCCTGCTCTGCTTTCCTAGTACACATGCTTCTTGTTATTAAATATGAGAATGATGATCAGAGAGCAAAATGTATTACCTTTCCACCACAAGCTGGTATCAGAACTCTGATTTTGTTTCTGTTCTCTGTTACCAAACAAGCCTGTGCCTAACTAGTGCTTAACAGTACCAGAGCTCTCCTCCAGTTTTTGAGATTAGCATCAAACTCTTCGACTCTATTTGGTGCAGGATCAGGCTTCTACCTGCTCTTCTGCAGTTCTCCAGTACCACATAAAATCAAATCCTGACAAAAACTGCATCATTTCAGCATTTTCTAAGAGGTCTGTCCTGAGGATTGCCTACAATCACGTATCTTTGAGTTAATGAACAGGTTCACCAGCAAGCAGGTATTTTTCATGAACGACAAGTTGAAAGTATATCTCTCTTACAACTTCGTTGGCCCTGTTATTAAAAACCCTCCTGGTTGGGTGTAATTAGAACAATCCTCAAAATCTGTGTGTACGCATAGTATCCCATAAAAGTATCTGCCTTTACCTGTGGATGCTTGTCAATGCACAAAGCATCAACAGGCTTTCATTTTTGGTGTGTATAGACACACATGCACATACAAAAGTGAAAGCATAGTGATGTTGTATGTATATACACAGATAAGAACACACACGTAAAGTAGCCCTCCAACTGCAGCTACTATAAATGAAGCAGTTTAGCTCTTCAGCCCTCAGCAAAGTGTACAAATTCACAGCAGCTGATGGTCTGCTGCAACAAATGAATAAAGAAGGCAGTTTTCTGATTTCTTTGTTTTAAATCTTAAACCAACATCTACATCCGTTCTGCTTTTCTCTGGAGCATAACTGTCAAAATACAGTGTGTTTTGGGACAGCTCTGGCCCTACATGCATCCTCCTTTTTTTATAGCAGGGAGAAAACCAATACATATGGCTTTCACACAAGGAATATAGTGCTTACCTGGGGTGCTGAGTCTTCCTCCTGTGGTGAAGAGGATGGTTATAGTGCTCTGATGCAGCTTCATAAAATCCTCATCTTTCCTCTGAGCAGCCAGCCCAGGACCCCTGCTGCTTTTGTCACACTCCTCCACCCTAATGCAAGCTTCTTTCTCTGGGTAAGTTCTAACTTAGTATAAGAGCTTTCAAATGCAGGAACAGCTGCCTTGTATTACTTGGTAATTCCCCAGCCAATGGACTGAGTGGAAAAATTAGTCCATTAACTCGTCTAAAATGTAAAAAAAAACGTTACTTAAGAAAGGAGTTTGTGTAACACTTGGAAAATGTGAAAATTAAAATGAAGCTGCATGGAGGCAGCAGACCTTCACTGGGACAGCAGTAATGCATGAGATGGAGCAGCACAACTCCATACCCACTTCTTTGGCTGGACAGAAAAGGAGCGGATCAAGAGAGAGAAAGCACTTTTGAGGGGTTCCCTTAGATGGCTATGCTTGTTCTGGGTTTCATTTGCTGCAACTTTGCCTATGTCTTGGTTCATCCATTTTAGATCGTATGTCAAGAGATCTTGTCTCAGCAGGTTGCTCTGAAACCTAATGATGGCTTGTTCAGTCCTCCTGAGGGGCCTGGCAAAACAAGTATGGAGCTGTGGCCCTAGTCCAGACTGGGGTTTGCATGTAGGGAGGGAGATGGCTGCTGGGAGCAGGAGGGCAGCAGCAGCACTGCTTGATGTGATTAAGGCTTCAAACCTGCTTCTCATTTAAAAAACTAACAAAAAGAAGACACGAGGGAGGCAGAAGGAAGCTGCTGTTCCTTTAAGTGACAGAGCCTGTGCAAGCTGCTCTGTGGGGCCGTTCAGGCCATTCACAGCCCTGCCCTTAAGTTTTTCAGTGATACTGAACTCCGGGTGACCCTCGCAGACAATGGCTGCTTTAGCATAGGTTTGACAACAGCAAGAAACTCCCGAAAAATAAGCACAAGCTTAAAATACATTTCAACCCGGGAGACCTGCTCCAATAAGGAATCCAGTTCATCTCCCGTGTTTGCCTTGATTAGCATCACACTTCTTGGCAGTTTGAAAAACGCCAGTTTTCAAGTGATTTCCAATGCCTCCCGCTCCAGTTTCTACCCTGGCAGGGAACCAGGCAGGAAACACAGCGGGTGGCCTTTAAAGGGAGCAGCATCCCTGCTCATTTACCCCAATATCTAGTTTATTTAAAGGTGGGCTATGGAGTAATCCCAATTTAATTGCAGTGCCTGGGACAAATGTCTTTCCTCGCCTTGTAGCTATAACATATTTCATTTAAAATGGGTACAGCACACCTTGCAATGTGGAGTACCCAAAAGCTGCCCATCAAAAACTTATTTAGTCGTCCTTGTGTTGGAAAAATGAAACAACTTTCTGGTCATCACCAGGAAAAGGGGAAATTTCAGCAAGTGCTGAAGGAGTTATTTGTTCTTGAAGAGGTACCCACAGGACATATGCAGAGCAGAGGCATTTCCACAATTCCAGAGCACTATTAAAGGATTTCCCATTATAACAAACCACCTGGAAATTAGCCCTTATCCTGCCAAGGTTTTAAGACAGCCCATACATCTTACTGCTACACTGAATCTGGGGTTCAGAAATCCCAAATGCTCACTGATTTTGATGGAAAGTAGGTCTTCTTTCAGCAGGGAAGAAGTAAGTGTTTTACCTAGAGAGGATAAAGTTTGCTTTTTCTGGCCCATCCAGTGGTGGCATACAATGGAGTCCTCTCAAAGGGTGAAGACCTGGAGGTGGTGAAGGCAAAAGCTGTCAGCCATGCTGTATGGACCAAAGGATGAATACTGGTTTGATGGGTAATGGAGAAGAGACCCAAATTATTATTCTCTGGCTCTTTTTAAGGATATTTTTCTCAGTTTGCCAGGCTGACTTCTTGCAGGCAGCTGTCTCACAGCATGAATTGTTAAGGTTCTAATGTACCTGTCCACCTTTAATACCCTCTCCTCCTGTAAATGTTTTAGAAGATGGTATGTTATGAAAAGGCTGGTAGGACATTGGAGAAGAACAACAGACACATGAAAGGAATTGCATATGGCAGTCAGTGTGCAATCCAGGCTTCTCTGGAAGCTTCAAGTATATTCAAGTAAAGGATTTGTATGAAGTTTCAATCTTCTATAGAAAATTTATGGAAAATTAAATGTTTCAAGCTTTAAATACCAGGGGGTTCAAGGATATGGTGTGTGAAGCAGGACAAGACACACTTTCTCTGCATGCTATTGTCTGCAAACTGGGTTCTTCTTCTTTTCCTTCCCCCTCTCAGATAAAAGCTATAGTTAGATGCCAACTGTAAATGGAAATATTTACCTGAAAGCAGGTATTCAGATATTTCAGGCAATCCTAATGCAGCGCTTTGCTGTGACAAACCAGAGATCTGAATTCTGAGAAACATAAATATGAAGATGTCTATATCCTTCTCTTGTTTTCTGATTAAATACACTTCTGCTCTATCAGCATGGGGTTCGTTAGGCCCAATGACTTTTGATGAGACAATGTGGTGAACTTGCCATTGTCTATTTTTTAAGTGCCTACATCTTAAGGGGAAAAAAAGGCTGTATCAGCTCTTTAAGTAAGAAAACTTGTGAAATTGCTTATTTTAGCCATCATTTGAATGAGTAGTAATTATGCCTTTAATAGTAAAATGAGGTTTTAATGCTGATTAATGAAACTGCTAAACTGTCAAGACTGCTAGTTACACTTACCAGTCTCTGGAGATCATCTCCTAAAATAGTTGCCATCGTATGTGTAATATGGCTTTTTTTTTGGTAGGACCAGATGTGAAGCATATGGGGACCTATTACAGTACGGATGAGCTGTAAGTCCTAGCTGAATTATATTGCACAAACTACCCAAATGGAAAGATAACATCCAGTGATTATTATAGGATCATAACAGCTTTCTAGAGTGTAGGGGACAATAATGGTCTTGGGAAATTGCCTAACTCAGTTAATCATTCCTGCTTGATAGTGTGATACGGATACTTGTTTACATCTATTGATATCCTAGAGGAGTACCATGCAGCTATGTGTGCAAACATACTGTAAAACACACTGCTGCTGCCTTCTACTTGTTCTCTCTCCTGGCCATGTCAGTGCTGGAGGGAAGTCTGTGGGACAGTGGGTTCCAGCAAGAGGAACCCGTGGTGCTCCCCAGCACTCACCCGAATTGCCAACCAGAGCAAGCCTCAGAGCTACTGCAGCAGGAGGAACTGTGTTCTAAGACTGAATGGACACTGTACCATCCAGACCACACAGAAGGAGGCAGGAAAATAAGGATCATGTAATGGCACTCACTGCTCTTTTATGCAGAGACACAAACGTAGTGTTATTTGGCACATTTTATTTCCTTATGGCCATTTGGTCATTGGTGCAGTGTCCTTGTTCACAGGCTGGTGAATGGCTACACTGAGCTCTGGAGGGCCAACACAAGAGTGCTCCATGTCCCCTGGCAGGAGGAATGAGGGCAAGACTCTCTCCTGAATAACTATATCTCCCCATACCCATTAACTTGATCATTATCCAATACTATACTCACTCTTCAGTATGTTGGCAGATACTATCACACACACAGTACACAGTATGCTAGAGATTGGAAGGGACCTCGAAAGATCATCTAGTCCAATCCCCCTGCTGGAGCAGGAACACCTAGATAATGTTACACAGGAATGTGTCCAGGCGGGTTTTGAATGTCTCCAGGGAAGGAGACTCCACAACCTCCCTGGGCAGCCTGTTCCAGTGTTCCGTCACCCTCACTGAGAAGAAGTTTCTTCTCAAGTTTAAGTGGAACATAACGTATCCCAAGCAGAATATAACAGACTGCTTTTCAGTTTTGCTACTGCAATACTCTGTATTACTCTTTGGTATGATTCTGTCATTTTATGAACAGTTTAACCTATTTACTCGTGTAAATGGACAATGGTTGAAGATTAGAGGCTTCATTTGCTATGAAGAGCTACTATCTTGTCTCAAAGGAAAAAGAACCAGTTGACCTAGACGGTAGGTCATCTACAAATGATACTCTACTACTAATGTATCAAATTATCATCACAGTGTCAGCTTATCTGTATATTAACAAATAGGAAATAGCATGGCTACACACCAATTTTAGAGGCCAGAAAAGTATAGACAGTTATTTCAGTAACTAGATACACAAATTAATGAGCAGGATGATTCAGATGGTTCATAGGTACATGCACTGTGTTTCATATAAATTTCTAAAATCAGTGCTATAATTGCTGCTGGTTAAACTCACTTCAGAGAAGATGTTCTTGTCTGAATGTATATTTGAAAGAGGGAGTAAATTTAGCATTATCTCCTTCTATACACATTTCCAGTAGCATTTCTTCCTTTGCCATATTCTTGGGCTTTAAGATTGTTGCATCAGACAGAGGTGCTCTTATAACCCATCAGGTCTTGTCATTTCTTAGCACCCAGTCCTGCATCCCTCACCCACAAGAGCAATAGCACCAACTTCCTAAAATCAGATCCACAGAAATGCTGAAACTACTTCCTGCAATTCTGTAATCAGGTAAGGCTGATTCATTGCAATATAAGTCCTCTTCAAATTGTCCTGAAACAGAAACTGATGTACGGCCAATCTTTCTATGACAAATAATGCTCCTACAGTTTAACTGGCATTGATACAAATATTCAGGCCTGTAAATGATCCTAGTAAAAGCCACAGCCACAACTACTACGTTCCAGATAGATAATTTGTTCCTTGGAAAAGTCTGTTTTCATAGTAGTGTAGTTACAAAGCAGCCTCTGAAGCGCCACAGTGACGGGAAAGCACATCACACACAGAAGGTAATGACTACTGACACCACACCAGCTTTCCTCTTGTTCCATATAAAAGCCAGCAAACTCTAAATCATCAGTGCAACCAAGCTGCTTACCTGCCCCCATTGTTCAAGCATGTCTTTACAGCAGGAAGTTAAATCTAGCAAATCACAGTTTAAGAAATAAATTCACTGCATAGCGTACAGCAGTCTGACTGGCTTCTCTGAAAATAACTGAACTAGGCTTAAGATTTCAACATAGTGCATTTCCTACCCACGGAACAGTGACTTGTGAGCTACTTCACAACCAACACCCCCTGCCCCCAACCCTAACAAAAAGAAAGTCTGAGGTGGAATGGTCTTAAAATTGTTCCTGTCCTGGGCACTCTGGCACACACCCTTATAAGCTTTACCAGAAGAAGGAAGATGTCAGCAAACAAGTCACCAAATACTTGTTATGTCCATCATTTGCAGCAGTTACAGCCCACATACTTAAGCCTGAAAATCCAGTATGTCTTTAGAATGCCCTTTCTGTCTATTGGTTATCATTAGTTTAAATCACAGCTTTAATGTGAAATGCTTTGTGGGTTTTTTAAATTATTTTGTTTCGACAAATTAATATTACAAAGATGGTGCATTCTTATTGAAAAGTCTTGCCAAATACAAAGCTGTGAAGAATCAAACAGCAGCATGCTGTGAGATCAGGAAATAAGGATGCAGCTCTTATTTTGGCCACAGGTCACTGTTGTGACTGTAGCCATTAGCTTCATTTTTGTCTCGTGGCTGCTCCAACAGTAAAACCAGCATAAGGTGCTCTCCCTGATCCTTGCTTGACTTAAGTTTCACAGTAAAGAGACTCTCTTCCCATGCCAGACGT